CTCGGCCTCTTCGCCGCCGCGCCGATTTCCATCGCGCGGGTGGCGACGCTGCTGCGGTGGAATTTATCGCTGCCCTTCGCGGCGGACTACGGGCAGTCTTTTTTGTATTTTCTACTGCTCTACACCGCCAACCCGACCCTGCACCGCCTGGTGCGCAGGGAGGACCATCAAAGACGCCGCGCGGCCTGCCGCCCCCGCGCTCCTCGCCAATTCGGGGTCGAGGAGGCGGAAACCCCCCGCGAAGGGGGCGATCCCGCGACGAATTCGACGCGGCGAACAAACACGGCGGTCTTCCGCTCGCGGCAATCCGAGGCGGGGGCGCGATTCGGCCCCACGGAGGACTTTCGGGGGCCGACCCCACAAGCGCCCCTGGCCGTTCCGAATCCCACCCACACCCATTCGCCCGCCGCCGCCTCGCTTTTTCAGCTGCTTCTGCTTCGGCGAAAGCGCCCAAACCCTAGCGGCGAAAGGGAAAAAGAGGGCGATGAGGGGGATTTCGCAGCGGAGTCCTCCAACAACGCCCGCGGCGGCCCGGGCCGCCGGGCGGCGGTGCTGCTACGCCACGTCGAGGTCCTGCACACCAATTCTCGCATGCCGCGCGAGGTGATGGGGGATCTTCTCGGTCCCCCTCCCTTCTCCTCTGACGACCCGGGCGATCCGCAGCGGCGATTGGAGGATCTCTCGGAGGAGATCCTCTGCTTCCCGGTCTCGCCGAGCGTGTTGGTGATGCGGCTGAGGCCCCTCGCGCGGCGGTGGGGGGAGGTCCGACCCCGGGCCGGCCGCCGCGAGGCGGCCCTGGCGATCCCCCTGCCGCGGCTCTGCAGGCTGTCTTTGTGGGAGCACGAATACGGCCTTGACATGGCGTGTGAGATGATGTGGGTGTATTTAAACCAATTCCCCAGGGCCGACGTCCGCGTGGTGTCCGCCAATGCCTGGCGGAGGTCGCGCTCGGCGCCCTCTCACCGCGGCGGCGCGCACGACTTGGGGGGCGAAATCGAGCCGCCGATCGATGTCAAAGATCTAGTCGTGGTGTTCCCGCTCTAACGCAGGGGTTCTCGCTTTATGGCATCCTTGTTTGGATGGGATGGAACCCATAAACCAAACCAAACCATGAGACCCTCGCGCTGAGAAAAGGCGCAACATCCTTCATGGATCAGTCCAAACGCAAGGCCAACGCACGATTAAAAGGTGCCAATCGCGTGGGTTCTTTCAGGGGCCCAACGAAGAGTCTGCAGCTGAGAAATAGTCTTTCTCTCCTCCTTTTTGTTCTACCCCACATGCTTTTATCCCCTCCCCTCATCTCGGTTCTATACTAGTCCAAATAGATTGCTAAATTATATTTCAATAATCTTGTAGGGTTGTAAATAATATATTACACAAATTCCTATTACCACCTTTGGTAACTATAGTTCTTCTCTTGATATCGGAAGGGCACCTTAAAACTAAGAGAGGAACTATCCTAAACGATCTAATAGAGGAAAAAAAAACGTTATTTCCCTAAAATAAACACCAAAACAAAGTAAAGCAAAGGACCCCCCGCCGCCACCACCGCAACCGAACGGATGAAACACGACGTGCGCTGGAATGACCGCGCACACGAGGAGAGTGAAGTTCTGATCCCCAATCCGGCTCAGCCCGGGCTAAACTTCGCACCGAGCCTTGAGAACCACAATTGTAGTCAAGCGAGACCGAGAAAAGGACAGCCCAATTCCATGAGTCTAGGGATCTATCTAAGCATCACCCTCGCCGGGGTTTACGTCATCACGAGTATGATTTATTACTTTACTATTCGCTATAGCAAATTGAATTATATCTACAGCGGCGTATCCCTCGTGACGATGACCGAGGCGGTGAAGATGGCGATATCCATCGCCCTGAAGTATTGCGTCGACGGCGAATTCATCCCCATCCGTCTTCTGTTCTCGAATGACAAGGTCGAGCTATGGAAGCGGGGCCTGCCGTACGCCGTCCCGGCCTTTCTCTACGCCGTGTACAACAACATGACCTTCAACAATTTGGATAACTTCGACCTCGCCACCTACCAGGTGTTTATGCAGACGCGGATTTGGTTTACCGGGATTATGTTCACCCTGATATTGGGCCGCGCGCTGAGCCTGCGAAAGTGGATGGCGCTGATCTTTCTAGCCTGCGGGGTCGCCCTAAAGTACTTTTCCCCCACCACGATCGAAATGGGAAGCTGGGTGTGCATCGTAATCGTTCAGGCCTTCATCTCTTCCTTTTCCGGGGTCTACAATGAGTACATGTTCAAAAGCGACCCGGGGTTTTCGATCCACATGCAGAACTTTTTTATGTACCTTTACGGCATTCTCTTCAATTTCATCTTCGGCGTCCTATCGGTGCCGGATTTTTACCACGAAGTCCTCATTGGCATTGGCCAGACGCGAATTTTTATTTTATTGGTGCTCATCGGCGCAACGACGGGGATTTCCGCGTCGTTTATTCTGAAATTTATCGACGTCATCGTGAAGGCCCTCGCGTCCGCCGTCGAGGTCCCGCTGACGGCGATCCTGGCGGCGGTTCTGCTAGGGGAATCGCTTTATAAGCAGGACATCTTGGCCGCGATTATTGTGATGTTTGCCATATATATGTACTATACGAAAGGGATCGGGGATTCAAGATTAATCCACTTCACCTTTCGACGACACAAACGATTAAATACAGGAAGTCAAGAGATGGAAAAGGTCTAAAATAGTTTGAGGGGAAAAAAATGATGAGTTCTCCGCACTGTCGTGTTGGGTGCGCCGATACGATAGTTTACAGTGTGATTAGGCCTGTTTCTCATAGAAGATTCGGTACGTCCTATTTTTTTTTGGTACAATAAAATAATATATATATAGAGAAAATAAAAAGGAGGAGGGAGGGAGACGGAGGAGGGTAAATATGTTCATAAATAAAATATACTATTTGAATACTAATGCTTAGAGTTATTTGTGTATGCGAACTACGTGTATGGTGTCCTACGTGTGGGGATCGATCGGGTTCCTCTACGATCCCCAATACGCCAAGTGGGAATAGAGTGCGGGTGGTTTCATCTGAGGTTGATGACCAGTGGTGTATTCCACCATAAAAGGATGGTTGAAGACGTCCGATGGGCTCAGGAGGGGGGAGGGAGGGGGGTCTTTGAACCACAACTCCGCATTTGGCAAACCGGTAGGACCGCGAAGGAGTGAAAGATGAACGACACGGCATACTAATTCAACCACCACCCCCTTTCCATCGCGTTAAGGCGATGGATGGTTTTCTTCCTCGCATCGGTGAGTCGCGCGGTCTGAACTAACGGGGGTAGTTATGGATATCTAAATATCAATACAGATCTATAGAGATGGATATGTCGCGTTA